AAAAAAAAAAAAAAAAAAAAAAAAGGCACTTGCACAGTCTTGCAGTTGAAAGATTGGGCCATCTTTGTCGAATATGTTTAAATATCTGAATAAATGAATTTAAGAAATAATAAAAAAGCCGTGAAACTGCATCTACTCCTCGCATGTGGCTGAGTGGTCTAAACATGCAGCTGTTAGTAAAACTCAGCTCATGATTTTGAACCCTGATTGAACCAGATGGATATAATCAAGGTTAGGGGGTTTTACCCCCCTTCTCCTTAAACAAAAAGAAGCAACACAAACAAAAAGAATCGTGTGTTGCTGCACCCCTCGATCAATCAATCAGCTTGACAATTTCAGCCGATGCATCGTCATCAGGCGGGAGATAATGATGAAGATCTGTGCGTCAAAAACCGCTCACGGGAGGCATCGGAATCGGATCGAGGAGGGGCTGATCTGCCACTTCAGCTGTGCCGGCATTTGAGCAGAGGCTCATGGAGTCTATCACTACATCAAACCACCAATACTTCCAGAAATCACGGCCACATGCGCACCGGCCATTGCTACAGTGCCACGATGTTTCCACTCCAATGAATTTATGCCAGCCAGCGCCCCAGACCCGTTCACCCCCCTCCACATCGCGGCGGACATGCGGCCACGACTTTTGGAAGTACCGGTGATTCAATATTGAAACCGCACGCACAGACGACTAGCTAGAATGGCCCCGCATAAGGATGCAACAAGAGTCGGAATCAATCGTCCGAGTATATATTGATTCTTCAGTGTACTTTCAGTACACAAGTTGCGAAATGGTCCTTCCATCCTGGCACGTTTGCTCTGTCCACCATGGCAAGAGTATGGGACCACCACATTTTGCACCTGGAGCGGGACAGAGACTCCAATCACAACCCCAAAGCAAAATGGCCTTTGAAAATTTTAAACCATTTTGTACAATTGGGCGCGCTAAACCGGAGTACTAACTTTTTTAAGGATTTTTAAAAGATTTTTAAAAGATTTTTAAAAGATTTTTAAAAGATTTTTAAAAGATTTTTTAAAGATGTATTACAGAGTTTTTAAAGATGTGTTAAAAGATTTTTTAAAGACTTTTTCTCATCAACAACAACTTCGGAAAGGGGATCACCTGTACAGTTATTATATGTATATATATATCGTCACAAACAGAACTGCCCGGTAAACCGTAGGCAGAGAGAGAGAAGAGGACAACAAACGAGGGGCTGTGACAAACTGTTTCGTCGGAGTTTCACCGACTCATCAGGAGGCTATATATATATATATATAGAAAGAATGACATATATCGTCACAAGTAGAACTGCCCGGTAAACCGTAGGCAGAGAGGGAGAAGAGGACAACAAACGAGGGGCTGTGACATATATACATATGACTCCTCAGGATTTGAATTCATGATCTATTTATAGGCACTGACATATGTACACCATTCGGTCACATGGGCTAAAGCGGACTACTGTTCACGTCTTAAGCATTCATGAAAAAGGCCTCATACTCGCCGCAAGAGCAGCATCCACAGTCAAAACCTTTGCAAGGGGTATAGGGGGATAGCCCCCCCCCACACCTCACCCCGTCAATCGCCCCCTTCCAGCCCCAAAAAAGGAAAGGGGAAAAAAAAGGATATCATGCTTCAAACGAGTCCAAGGCAACGCTAAACGTCACACATCCCTTCACATTACCCCCTGACCAATATCCCTAAACCCTAAACCCTTGATGCCTTCATCAAATGTAAACCTAGACCCTAATCCCTCACTGCTGTTCGTGGGTCCAGCAATCCTGCGCCAGATGCTGACCCCTCATTGACAAACCCTAACCCTACGACATGGTACATTAAAAACCTAGAAACCCTAAACCCTAAACAACCACTTCATCGTGGTCTTTACACTTACAGTTTATCGGCTGCTGGTTTGGAGATGCAGCACCTTAATTTGAACCCATACTATGTCTTTCCTTCTTTCCTTTCGGTGTTGCCCAGGGTAGGGGGTCAAGCAGGCATCTACATCGCAAACAGCTCGCTGGAACAGAAATACTGTGGCTTGGCACTCGATCCACCAAACTGAACAGAAGTGGCGGTCATTATAGCTGCTTGCTGTGCATAAGAAGGGTGCTCGCTTTACAGATATATACATATACCAACTAAAATGGCTGGCAACGGCCGGTAGGCGCCTTGTATAGCCTTTGATCGTTTGAAATGCAAAATGCAAGGGACAAGCAAAATTGCTCATCGGAGGCTCCTAGGTACCTGTGGTTAAACCGACCCCTCCTCCTTGCTTAGAGGTCATTAAATGACCCTCGTCAACCTCCTCAGCAACCATTTACTAGGGTCGCTTTTTTAATTTAATGGCCCCAGTTCATACCGCGTGGGTCATTATCATCCGCAGTTGCCACATAATGAGACCGCTAAGTTCCACAGACGCCTGCGCCCTACACACTTCAAGACTTAATCCCAACAATCAACGTTCAGCTCGTGGCCGGCTTTCTCATCCCACGGAGCAATCAAATGAAATGGTCTACCTACATATCTGTTGAGAAAAAAACGAAGGCTCGAACTTTTTGTGACCACAGGCCAGAGGTCTTTGGCAGACTAAGTACAATCTTTTGTGTACATAGGCCAGAGGTGTATGGCAGTACTACATCAACGCACGGCCGCATCTTTCGTAGGCACCTTTCTTAAGCAGAAATGGGGCCACTTGTTTTATTTCTTTTTTTTTTTTTTTGGGGGGGGGGGGGGGGGCGCACTTGTTTTGGCTTGGGTCGATTTCGATAGCGCCACGAATTCAAAAAGTAATAACAAACCATTTGGAACTATGCTTTGCTTCCCACCCCTCTCCACCCCCACCCCTGAAAGGTCCAGGGGGTAGTAGAGGGGTAGAGGTGGCCAGGCCTCCTTTAGGTTTTAGGGGAAAATATATATATATATATCAAAATGCTACAATGCCAAACATAACTAAGCCACCAGTATGAGCTCCCTCCGAAAAACGTCCGGCATATGCAATGATTGATGCCACCTTTTCAACTTATCGGCATGGCAAGGTGGAGTACAAGGTTCACCAATTTAGGATCCGCCCTACTGGCGCTTTACATCGCCCACCAGTACGCGGCCCCGGCCTTGCCAAAAAAAAAAGCAGCTCGTCGCCCCCACACTGTAGCGATGACTCGGCCTACCGGATGGCTGGGCAACGCCAGCCAAAAAAGGAAAAAAAAAATGCGCCACGGGCCATTCCGAAAAGCTTGCGCTCCCGGGAAAAAAAAAAAAAAAAAAAGCTTGGCGCACAGTAAGGCACCCCCAGGCCCCGGTGTGCCGGTGGGTTTAAACCAACAGTACTTGGCCCAGGTATGGGCAGTGGGGGGAAAAATAGAGTAGAAACGTTTCTACTCGGATGAATTTGGGCGCTCCTGTAGTGAACCGTACATTTCCCAAAATTGTGGCTTGTTAACGGGCACGACTTTAGGGAAGTACTGCAGTGGGTTTAACACAAACAACACAAAAACTTGTCACCGATAATTTTGCAAAAGACACAGAGGCACAGAGGGTAACTAGGCAAAAAAGACACCGAGGGTAACTCGGCAAAAGACACAGATACTTTCAGGGCATTCATAGTAGTGGACTCATCAATCAAGTCCAAAAGAGCCCATCATGAACGTGGCAGCAGTTCCAAAAGGGCCCCCCCTTATACGTTGCCAAAGCCGTCAATTGCGCAGATGTCCAATGAGACAGATCGGATGGGTGGGAGGAATGAGACAGATGGGATGGGTGGGAGGGACGAGACAGATCGGATGGGTGGGAGGGATGAGACAGATCGGACGGGTGGGAGAGAGAGTCCTATATGCGCCATCGGTCAGATAGTCTAATCTGCAACAAGATTTTTGAGGATCGTGATCGGATAGGTGGGACAAAAACTACTGTAGTCCCCATCTGCTGATCCCATCTGTCCAATCTGTCTAATCTGTGGCAGAGGCACAGATGAGACGCGCCCAGAGGAGACGAATGGGACCGGCAGCACACCCGCATCTGACCACTGGTGCTGCCACTGTCACCAGAGAGCTTTAACCTCCTCCTCCTCCTCCTCCTCCTCCTCCTCCTCCTCCGAAGATTTTCCTTGTATTAGTAGACGATAGTGCACAAAGCAAGCCCATCATAAATGGACCTCGTTGCCCGTTACTAAATCTGCTGTCTGCGACCATCGATCCTGCTGAGACTCAATGGCTGCGATCTAATAATGTCCCTCAGTTGTCTGTCATGGAATCGTCCCTTGGAGAGAGAGAGAGAGAGAGAGAGAGAGAGAGAGAGAGAGAGAGAGAGAGAGAGAGAAAGACAGAGCGAGAGAGAGACGTAACTCGTAGATATCTTCACCGAAGGAAGCACGGAGGCAGAACGAGTGGTCTGTAGCTGCGCCTCTTCAGATGAATTTAAATTATATACGGACCCCTGGAAGAGAGAGAGAGAAAGAGAGAGAGAGAGAGAGAGAGAGAGAGAGAGAGAGAGAGAGAGAGAGAGAGAGAGAGAGAGAGAGAGACGTAACTAGTAGATATCTTCA